TCCTGCTCCTTTGACAATGTGATGCGTGCCGACAGGGCGAACTCGATCTCTGCTGTGGTGAGGGACGTGTCCTTTTTGGAGCAGAGGGTGCGTCGCAGACTCACACCGTCATTGGGAGGAATGGATGGGCGGCTATCTGCATCAATGTGTTGACAAGGGACCCGGATGGTACCAGGAAGTATTGCCTCTCAAGGCGGTCTCACGGCAAGGTGTGGCGCACAACAAAGGCCACGCCCACGGCACGCCTGGTGGAAGTCACTGCAGCCAATGAGCCTCGTCGCTGGGACGCTCTGGTGCCTGCGCTCCAGCAGAACAACCATGCCGGGCTGTTGCTGCGCCAGTCGAGCAGCAAGGGCAATCCTGAAGGGCGAAGACTTAAAGGTATGGGCTGCCAGATAACTACGAGGCCATCCTCATCGGGGCTGCGGCTCTTGCGGACACCACCGCAGCGGGTGATGCCGACGTAGTGACCGCTATAAAACGACTTTGCGGTTCTGTCAGTAGAGCTGCAGGCAAACCGCCTCGCCGCTCCACAACCGACAGTGCGTGGGACCCTCTCGAGGGGTGACGCCGTCGTGGTCTCCATCACGCTCGCACCACTGCCCTGCTGCAATCACACCGACAGAAAAACAAGGAAGTGTGTGTGGATGTGTGTGCCGAGAAAGCAGCGACTGTCATCGCCACCAGGAGGAGGCCATCGTGGCAGCGTCCGTCACGCGTCAGCACACACCGAGCAACGCACGCACCCGGCAGTGCAAATACAACGAGGAGAAGAATGACCCCAAGAGCAGGCAACACCTTCACGCATGGCGGGCATCGTGCAGCCGCGTCAGCTGGCCTCCAGCACAATGCAAAAGGCGTCCCACACACATCCATCCAATGGCACCGCAATTCCCACCGCAGGCACACACGCAGCGGCCTCGCCATGTCGGCACGGAATGCAAGCCAACGTCCCGCCGTCGCCAAGAGCATTCCTGCAGAGCACTGTGCAAATAATTTTGTGCGTGCTGGAGGAGCAGAAAAGAAGAGGAGCACAGGAAGACACATCAGCACAGCAAGAGGCACAGCTGGACGGCAGCGATACATGCGGCACGGCCCAAACTCAACAATCACACACAGTGGCGGCACACACCCATCGAATAAAAGAAAAAAACAAAAAAATCTTTTAAAACACGGCGGCAGGGTGTGGCTGTGTGCGTGGCGCTGCGGGTGTCTGCCCGCCCTGGCCGCAAAGAAACAAAACAAGAGGGAAGAAATGTGTGCTCCGCCCCACAGGCCCTCGTCGCACGCCCACACGTCACGGCTCCCTCAGCGCGCCGTTCGTCGCGGCCCCTCCTCATGCGTGCAGCAGGCGAGGCGCAAAGGGCCGTCGTCGTGAGCGTGTCGGTGGGTGTGCGAGTGGAGCAGTTGGGCGGAAACACACGGCACCCCTCGCAGGAAGAGTGCAGCAACAAACAAAGAGGGAAGAGTAGAAAAGAAAAAACACGTCCATAGTGATTGCCCCAAAAGCAAAAAAGAGAAGAGATGGGGGATGAGAGAAATAATAATAATAATAAACAATAGAAAACAAAAAAAAAATTAAAAAAAGAACACACACTCGCACACACGCTCAACACGCAAAAAAAAAAAATGATGAATTACAAAAAACGCGCATAAAGAAAAGAAAATTATCTTAAAAAAAAGTTAGTTCTTGGAATTAATTCCGTGCTGGGGATGCCGCAATTGCCCCACGCGGCAGCCATTCACTCCTCACAGAGCTGCAAACCCCCATAGTCCCAACAGAAGAAGCAGAAGCAGCATTCCGCTTCTGCAAACAGTGCACGCATCACCCGTTGATTCTCCAACGGCATGGGAGTTCCAACCCACGAACACGTGCTCTGTGTTGGCAGATTCCCCCACCGTTGCATTTTGCCCTGCTTTACTTTCTTTTTGAGGCTGCTGCAAGGTCGTTTGAACCACTGGAGCTTCAGAAGTTTTGCCTGCAATGGACGCTTCTGCATGAGATTCTTCTGCGGTGGACGCTTGTGCATGAGGTTCTTCGGTAGAAGACGCTGCTGCACGTGGTTCCTCTTCATGAGGTTGACCTGGGGAAGACGCTTCTGCATGAGGTTCTTCTGCAGGGGACAACGCCGGAGCAGCCACAGACACTTCTACTTGCTCCTCTTGCTCTTCTCCTTTGTCATCCTCCAACACACTCGGAATGACAAGACTGCTGCCGTTGGCGGCAATGGTGCAGACCTCAACGTACTTCGGGCACTTGATCTTCCCATCTTTCTTAAAATCTTTCAACGTCACTGAGATTTCAGTGTCCTCAGGGCAAGGCTGAAAACCGCTGCTGCCGAGGTACTTCACCTTCACTGTGCCCTCTCCACACAACACCTGCGCGCACACTCCTTTGACGTTTTTATTTTTATCGTCCTTCGTCTCCAGTAATTCCGCGTCCAGGCACCACGAGTCACCGCCAGTCAGCGACCCAGGGAGATAATCCACATTTTCGTCCGAGCACGTCCTGTACTTTATCCCAGACGATTTTTCGTGAAAGTACGAAGAAACAACAGGGCAAAGGTCCTTTTCCGCCAGACTCCCCTCGTTTTCAACGATGGTTGCGGTGCACGTCCCAACGTGACGGCGGTCGGAGGTGCAGCGGAGCGTCTCTTTGTCGGAGTCATTGCAGAACATGTGGGGATACTTGCCGGCAAGATTCTCGGTTGCATTGCAGTTCTTCTCCAGGAAGTCGCAGCCGGTGCTGTTGCCCCAGCCCATCGGCTCCGCCATGCTCCAGTTCACGCTGTAGTATCCCATATCCGCAAACACCGCCATCGTCAGCGCCGTGTAGTAGCCGGCACCAACTGTGGGAGCCATCAGCTCGTCCCGCGCGTGGCGTCCCTTCCAGTGAGGGATCGCCTTTTCCCGAGTGCCGCCTTCGTCCTCCAACTCCATGCCCTCGAGAGTCTCACAGCCAAAGTGCGCTTTCGCCTTCGCCTGAACGTGATCCCCTGCCACCATCCTGCGGAC